TGAAAACCAGCAGAAATTGGGTCCAAGATGGGATTTCTGTTATAAAACGGGAATTCAGATTAGGGCCCTGTTATTAGCTCATTGCTCTGGGATGTGGGAAATTCAGGCAAAGATCCTTGCTCCAGTACATAATTATTTACGGCGCTAAGTCAGTACTATCCTTGAGGCATGAAAAATAATTCCTGTTTTGGGCCTTGCTATATTTAATATTGCCCAGACAAAAGGAAGAGGAGGAAACCTGTGCATCCATCACAGGAGGGAAGTCCAATGCAATTAAACGGTAGAGGATTGAATGGAAAATGGTGTCATGTGCACATGGCCAGGCCTGGAGAGCGCTGCAGCAGTAGTGGACTGGGGGGCGGTTTGTGCCAAGATGTTAAAATTTAACGCGGCCAAAAATACAGTCACTTGAATTTCCCTCCACGTGTGTTAGGGATAGGGGGAAACTTTTCCAATTGCCTCGCTGCTCGCATCTTTTTTTGGTTTGGCTTTGTTTTTTAAAGCTCAGGTGCAGAGCGCAGAGTGATATTTAACTAGTTGAACCTTTTGCCTTGGGGAAATATGCTACGAACAGCAGCTCTTTTATGCTAACTGCTGAGCCAGTGCCTTTTCTGCCGGGCTTTTTCTTTATCAATGATCACAGCATTGTTTCCCTGCAGTTCTATTAAGTTGTACAAAGTAGCCTGTACTTTAAAATGGGAACCCTTCGTCTTCGGTTACCAGTTCCCACTCAAAGATTTCAAAGCATTTTACAAGCATTTTACTTTAGCTCCCCCCCAGCTAAGAGGTAATCAGGGTAAGAAGTATTACTCCCATTTTCCAGGCCGGGAAACTGCGGTAGGGGACAGATCAAATGGCTTGCCCTTGGAGACCAAATCAGTCAAGGGAAATAGTTGTTATTAGTTAATAGCACAAAGATATAGTACTGCTATATGCTGCCAGCTAGGGCCAGTCTGTCTGCAGCGTAGCGTCGACATGCTCACGCTAGCGTTAGCTAGCTGCGGTGCCAGTAGGAGTTGAACGGCAGCAGCACAGACTTCAGGACAACCTGTTCACCAGACTGTTTTATCCTGCTTCCTGGGTGTGTCATGCAACTCATATATTACATTTTGAACGTTGCAGCTGTAGATCTGCATCCAGCCTTTGTCACGTACTGGAAATGTTGGCAGGATTGCCAGTTCTCACCTCCTTAGCTCAGGATATCGTTTCCCCTTCCAGGAAGCAGGAGCTGCGGACACGATATACTGTAACAGGACGAGGGATAATATGATGTTTGTTCAGCCACGCTTTGTGCATGCGTGCCGGCAGGTGGGATTGCCCATGTTTCCGGAAACAGTACAAACACATAGTGTATACTTCAATACATACCTTTCTCTGGAAGGCTTTAATATTAGGCCTGGCAGTGAACCATGGCTCTAAAAGTTAATGGCACTGCCAGTATTGCTGTGCTCCTTTTATACGGGTTGATCCAGTATATATTGGATTCAGTCCCTCTTGAGTCTTAATGTGATCAACCTAGGGCATCAGTTGCATCCTGCATTTCCTTGGGCGAAGGTTTTTAAATGTGCAATTGTTCATTGAATACAGCGAGGCAGTTGCTCCGGTCCTCAGAGCGGCAGGTTGGAACTAAATAGATATTTGTGCAAGACAGCGGTGCCTAGAAAGCAGGTAATATCTGCTTAACGACTCTGTGTGTGTCAGCAGCTTGCTGAAGAAGCATCTATATGTCACTAGGCTTTGCCCAGCGTGGATATTTAGTAATGCAGTTAGATGGAAGTCGCCTTTATTACTTTTATTGCATAAAGAGCAAAAGATGCAAGTAGCTGGTCTTTGTGCCAGCTGCAGATCAGTCAACAATTGTACCAGGCAGAGCATCAGCTTGGAATTTGTTCTCAATTATCATCCTCTTTTTTGTTGTTGAGAGCATGTTTGCTTTTAAAGCTTCATTGAGCTGAGCTGACATACTTGATTTCCCTACTCTTTGCCCTGGGAATGGTCCCGGTGGGCCTTCTTATCTTCTTCATGGATTCATTCTTGGGTCTTGGTGATACAGGTTTTTCCTCGTCGCTCCCAAATTGCTCATATTCTCCACAATGCACTTTGAACAGTCCTTGCGGTGTGCCTCGATGCTGGCTGTTTTCAGTTCTTCGTCAAACGGACTTTATCAGGTTCTGTAAGCTCTTTGCATTCGCCTCCGCTGGTAAACATTTCACACTAATTGGTGCATGAGGGCTTTAATTGCGGTCCTTTCCTTGTTTCTCTAGCTTTCATTTCACTGGCTCCATTAAGTTGTCTAAGTGTCATTATGTCAAGAAATAGGAGACAGTCATGTTTTTGTACTTCTGTCATAAATTCCTTGTCTGACTTTAGGCTCTTCATCATGTTGGGAAAAAGGTTGAACTGCTCCTTTCAACATGATGATGTCAATCTTGTCACCTAGACATCACCCCCCCCATTAAGGTTTCATTAGGGCTGTAGTGTCCGAGGCTTGTTCCAGATGTTAATGATGCAGTGGTCTGCCAGAGTAGCTCAAAGACAAGGTCCATTTACACCCCTCGGCCAAAATCTTTGCCGTAACTTTTCATAGCTCCATCAGTTTTGGTGGATGAAGAAGCCAGGGCAGGGAACCACCTTGTATGCTCAGACCCTTAAACCAGTGACAAGCTCAAGCTCAAGTTGGTGCCTGTCAAAAGCTTGTTGTCTGACTCCGTGAGTCTAGTCCTAGTCTGAATAACCACCACGCCAGGAGTGTTGCATTTCGACCATCCGTGTTCTCCTGACCTTTAATATCTTGTGCTCTCCCACCATTGCAAGCTCCAGCAAGTCTTTCCTAGGCTCCTTCCCCCCTGCTAATAATGTTCTGGGACCACATATATTCTTCTAGCGAATCTCAGAGAGACATGCTGTCGGGTCCCTGCACTGCTGACATCAATGGCATCGCACACAGGTTGATCGTGACCCGACAGCGGATTTGTTTCATTAGTAGGAGTTTTGCACTGGCAACTTCTGCCGGGCATTTTCTGGGGAGAAATGATCCACTTGGGGTGTCAGCCCTTCGCTCATCTTGGGTCTCCAGCTTCTAGGCAGTAATTACTCCCAGCCACTGTTCAGCAGCTCCTGTGTTGTCAGCCCAGGCCTTTTCAAAAGTTTGCCTTTTCCTTTAAATAAAACCACACTGAAGCAAGCGTGGTTAGGAGAGCAATTATCTGGCAATCCAGACTCTGGACTGCCATGACCCCGTTGTTCTTTTCAAAGAAGTTATATTTTCCTATTAGTCTGTGTGCGTATCCCTCTTTAATGGTGCTTCCTTTGAATTATTAGTGTGTTTTTCTGATACTGTACCATACGTACTGAAGCCATGGCCATCAAGGTGCAAGGCCTTGCTGGGGGATTAATGGGTGTTAGAAGGAAGGAGATTACGCACAGAGCAGCCAAAGGCCACTAACTCTAGCCCCTTATAATCCCCAAGAAGTAGCTTTTATTGAAGTTGCTGTTGATTTTGTAAGGTATGCATGAAAGCAAAAAATAATAATAATAATAAAAAGGCAAGGACTTGTTTGTTATATACCTGACTTGTATATGTAGGCGACATTCCTTTAAAAACGAATGTATGGTAATCAGTCATATCGCTTGGGTCATCTGTCAACAGAGTTAGTACACACTAAGTAGCGTATAACTCATATTGCTGGTCTGTATGCAACTTTTCATGGATGCCGTTAATTTTGGGGTTTTCAGGACATTTTGCTTTAGTCCCAATTAATCGAGTTCTTCCTAGTTATAAATATCCCATTATGATGAGAGGCTCTCCTTAAAAATTGTATGTTTTTTGCTCATAAAAGAGATTATTTAATTCCTAGGCAATTATTGAGGATGGTTTCTTTAGTGTTGGTATTAGGGTTGGCAAGCCAGTCCACTTATGGTCAAATATTGTCAATTGACTTCATGTTTTTTGACCGGTCAAAGATTATAGCAATTTTACTAAACAACAACAAAAACCCTATGTTTTTTTTTTAGATCTCTTTTCAGAAATATACTTTTTATTGTGTTTTGATGCATTTAATGGAAAACACCTGCTTTTTCTATGTATTATTTGGACCTATTGGCAATTTTTAAACAATTTTTGACTGATATTTGACTGGTCAATTGACTGAACTTTATTTGACGAGTCAAAAACCCCACCCTAGTCAACATATCATTCTACTATGTCAATTTTTCTATTTCTTAAGCAACGTAACATATACAGAGGTAACAGCATCTTGCTGCTTAATGTAACGCTACATCTGAGGGAGCCATTACGAATGCATGCCGCGTAGTGGCAATATTGATTTTTAAAAGAACATCTTTAAAAACTCTTGAAGTCATCAAATAGGTAGCATGCATTTCCTCAGCTCTTCTACCGTTCTACTCATTTGCAGACAACGGTCAATTCGAATGTTGCCTTACCCAATTGTTAGAAGCAGTTTAGAATAATTTATGGTATGAGAGATGTTGCTTTCTGCATTGGGGAATGGATGTGTTGAAGCAGCATTACCCACCGATAAGGAAATGCGATTTGCTGATGTTATACTGAGAAGTGGAGAACATACAGTTTGCAGATCAGGCACTTGCTGCATGCTCCGTATCAGTTTTGCACAATGGCTGTGCAGAATACAGCCCCGTATTGCAGCAGATCACAAAAAGAGCATAGGTCTCCTTCTATCAGTTCCCGGAGCACCTCAGAATGACGGTATTCTCCATTCAAATGAAAACTGCATGAAACCATAGAAACCACAAATGTTTATGGGAAACATTGTTTGTCCAAGTAATCGCTCCCCGCCCCCTTCTCGGCCACCACAAAAGTACATTAGCGCGTTTAATTTTTTAATTTTTTTTTTCCTTCCTGCCAATGTTTCTCCCCCCTTTCTCTTCCCCACCTGAGACTTTATATAGTTTATTTACTTCTCCAGTTTTCTTTTCATTAAGCTCTAACTTCAGTTCATTTTGTTATGTGGTGACCACAGTTATGGATGACGCTCCCCCTGGCACACAGGAGTACATTATGTTACGACAAGATTCCATCCAATCTGCGGAATTAAAGAAAAAAGAGTCCCCTTTTCGTGCTAAGTGTCACGAAATCTTCTGCTGCCCATTGAAGCAAGTGCACCTCAAAGAGAACACAGAGCCGGAAGGTTTGTGCACTACGGATCCATGTTTCGTTTGTCATTACTTTTTTTTTTTTTTTTATTTTTTTTTTTTTTTTCATTTTTTTTTTTTTTTTTTTTTTTTAATGGAATGTCAAAAGGAAATATATTTTGAAATTGTTTTTTTTTTTTTTTAATTTACTTTTTTATTTCAATTTTTTATTTATTTATTTTTTTAATGTACGTGTCCCAAGAGTGTGCTGTGTGTTCTTCAGCCTGTGTCAATATAATGCACCCGACGCAGGAAGCGTTATGCGCTTCATGTTCCCCTCTGCTTGCCTGTTAATGTCTGATACGGTCCTGTCGTGGAACACTGTATACCGTAAGTCATATACAGTATTACTCTAGACCAGAAGTCAAATGACGCTGCTTTTTCTCCAATAAAGTTTGTTTTTTTCAGCTGTCATCATTACACACTGCCCTTTTCTGGCTGCCAAAAGTTGCTTGCTACTCCGAACAGCATCAATCCCTAGTCAGTTTTTTCTCCCCCTGACATTTCTGAAGCTGCACTTTGCTGGAAATAATGGCACTTAGAACAGGAATCGGCTTGTCCCCAACGCCTTTCACCCCATAAGGCTTTTGCATACTGCTGTAGGAATGCTCGTAGCAGCTGTACTGCAGTGAAGCGAGATAAAAAGTTGAATGTAATGCACGCCCAGTTGCATTTTGGAAAAAGTCAGATGCATGCATAGCGGAAACGATGAGTAGAATGCTTTCCTTTTCAGGTCCGAGTCAAGGTATGGCCTGCTCTGCTTGCTGTTTACTGAAATGAATTAACGAGCCGTTTGCTTCTTTAACGTATCGGTCTAGTCTGCAAGATGAAGCCATTTTTTGATATTGAATTCTCAGTTTTAACTTTCTCTTGTTATTCTGTATGTGTTTTGCATTTCTGCCTCAAACCCCACATGGTAAGCCTTCTACTTTTTGCGTAACTTCAGTATGTAACTATCTGCCAACCTGGATTATGTTGCCGTTAGTAGACTTCGTATTTTTATGATGAATCACTTGGAACCAGATGTTACCGTCACCCGTATTTGCTGGTGATATAAAAGCAAGATGATATGAAACCTTCAGCTACAAGATATCTTGTATTATTCTGCCTTTAATCATGGACATTGCTGGTGCAATTGTTGAATTGCTGGTATTCAAACTCGACTATTTTGCAGGACTGCTTGCTGCTGTCGTATCGAATATCTCGTGCATAATGTTTACACCAATGTTAGACTTCTCTCTTTGATTGAGTAGTGTTTTTACCCTCAAAAAGGCAATACCTAATATCTTTGAGTTGGCCAGTCAGAAATGTGCTGCATGAAACAAAAGTTGATGGAAGGGTTTTGATCAGATTTAGGAACATGGAGCTCACCTGGATACCTTCAGTGGGAGTTTGGACTCTGTAATTGAGAGCAGCGTGCAAGTTGAAGGGGACCCAGGTCTCATGGTGCTCTTTTATTCTCAATTAAGCAATGAAATCTATTTATTACATTTTGCCGTAGTTCGTGTTCCAAGAGAGCAAAAGAAGGGCTCACCTGAGAGATGCCAAGTTCTCCCTCAGGATGCTGATGACCTGCCTTTCACAAATATCCTTAACAAACCTTGATTTTGGAAACTCAGGCTCTGCCCGCTGTATGAGTCCACTGCGATCCATGGAAGAGAGAGGTGCTCGGTATCTGGCAGGCTTAGGCCCTCACTGTTGAAACTTTGACTCCAGCTATCTGTGTCTCGCTTTGTCTTCAAGCAAAGCTCCCTTGGAAGTCAATGGGAGCGTTGCTTGTTTTCTGCAATTGGAAGGCTTTGACCATTGAAACGTAAGTCAATAAGAACGCAGGTCTCCTGATGCTGACTAGTTCGTGGTTGTGTTCGTTTTTCAGTAAGTTTTGCCTTTTGACTGACCGTTCTTAAAGAAAAAATGTGTGTAAAGGTGGTGGTTTTGCTGTGGTGACTTCCTCTCCAATGAGCTGAGCCTCCTTGAAGCTGAGACACTTGGCGTCTGCCTGGAGAAGCTTGTGAAGCTCAAGCCCTGGGTGAAAACCTGAAGGTTGCAAATAGTACCTTATTTTAAACTGAAAGCTAATTGTTGCTCTTATAGATTCTGCAGAGATCTTGAGACTATTTCGCAACTATAACAGCTGTGTTACTCTTTATTTTTTTCCCCCCACAACATGCAGACTCTGTTAATCATTCTCCCTGAAAATGTTTAGTACTAAGAGAACAGCCCTTCATCTTCCGTTTTGCTTAATCAAAGGGTTGAATGTCTTTTCTTTCAGGAATTTTGCATGCATATATTGTCAGGGGAGTCGCAAGAGGCCACAGCAATGTTGGCCAACTCACAGCCTTAGGAGGTTTTGTGGTTCATGGGAGGAACCTTTTCAAAGGCGTATTTGGACATGACTTGCACTGTTGCATGACTGTTGCATGTGTTTTGGTTGCCTCTGTCATCAGAGTGAAAATGTATGTTGGAGATTTTCCCTTAGACTCTTCTACAGCCAAAGCAGCCTGAGGCTGTCACGATGGAGTGTTTTTTCTCTTTTGCAATGTCTGAATTGGCTAGCAAGAGTGTCAGACCCTCTGAAGGGCTGATTGTGTCATCGTCAGTGCTTTGATGGCCTACAGCCAAAGAATATCAAGAATAAAACGAGCCAAACTTTGCTTTCAGTGCAGACATGAAATAAATCAATTGAAGTCAAAGGAGCATCCAAGCAAGCCTTAGTGAATGTTATCCCAGTCTCTTCAGACATGGGCAATGCAGTTAACATGTCAGTTCTGCTCCCAGAATGACTGAACATAAAGGATTAAACATATTGCCTTAATATAATTTATACTTTCTTGAATACATTGGGTATTGTAACATTAATCTATTAATGAAAGAGGGTGAGCATGAGGTCAATAGCCTAACCATATTGTTGCATTAAGAGTAATCCAAATAAAGACTAAATTAAGTAGCTGTTGAAAACCCCACCAACTCAAATGTCATCATGTTGGGTTATTTATGAAACTCAACAGACTCAAAAGATTGGGGAGGATATAAAAATAGATTCACATTTTTATTTCAGTATTGCCATGGGAGCATCTCGCAAATCATAAATATGTGCTAAATTCTCTCCCACTCTTTCGCATCTCTCACTACTAATATTTATTCAGCTGAACAAAATCCCTACCTTATAATTCTGACCTCATGGTTAGTACTTGGTGCATCTGCAGTTGGCCATGTCAGGGTCTTCGCTGTCTGGTACCAGCCGGTTGTAGGCATGATACAAGAGGCATACAGTCCTGGCTACACTATTGCAATGATATTATGAGTCCAACATAGACTGAATTAACTTCTTGCAGGGGCTTTGGCCAGTAATCTTGGACCTTGCCAGCGAAGGAATCCCAGTATGGTGTGGTACCAAGCGCTTTCCCATAACCTGAACTCTACTCTTTAACAACCTCCTTCTTTCATGAAGCCCTTACTCTTTGTCCCCCTTCTAAGGTACCTTCAAAGGAGGTGCAGGTATTTTCCAGGAGCCCTTTCTCCTCTTGCTGGGAGCAGGATACAAGCACTTGGTCCCAAATCCACAGTGGGCACATTTACACAAGATGCTGCATAGCTGTAGAGATGAGCTACAGGGCCATAGCATTGCCAAGCGTGAACCATAAAGCCAATGCTACTGCAGTGCACAGTAGCAATGGGCTACTGCGGAGTAGGGTTGGAAACCACGCATGCGCCCCCGGGGCTGCGCAGTAATGGTGGATACTGTGCAATCATTAAGTACTTGCTTAAGCAAGTACTAAATGCTCAATAACAACTGTGCAGTTGGGTGCATGCACCCAGTGTTACCAGTATACCACCTCTTTCCCTCTCGCCTTCCAGTTGGGATCCATGCACCTTTTGCTTGGATTTGTCTTGAGGTATAAGACAATTGTCCCAGCCTTTCAGGACAGCTCGAAGAGCACTTAAATCTTCATGGAAAGTTTCATTTCATGTGTTTAGAAAATGGCCTTACCCTTCATGCACAGATGGAGTCTTTTCCCATAGACCCATCTCAAATCCTGAGAATGCAACCTGGAATTAGGCAGGCAGGTCAGCGTGATACCAAGTGGCTGATCAGTGGGGCTGTCAGGAGTTTCCCAATAGACATACTTCTTTTAGGAGATTGTCATTGGGAACTGCTTCAGGAATGCATCAAGTCTGAACCAAGTCAACCTCCTCTGGGGTCCAGCTTGCTGGCCCCATGGGCTGCAACAGAGCATGACCCAGGAAGTTGTGAGCATCCTGGCTATAGCTGTGGGTCTAGGGTCTCCTCGTCCCGCATACCTTTGAGCCTTGGAGACCCGAGCCTTGGATACCTTTGAGGCTTGAGCCCAGCCTCTCAGGGTTTCTAGCCTTCCCACTTAGCTGTGGGAAATCTGGAAGCCCAGAGAGCTCCTAAGTAGCATCTTGCCTGTTCTTTCACTCTTCCTCCTATCTCGCAGATGCTGATTATGTTAGCTGTCTAATCCCAGTTAACTTTTTTCAGGGAAGACCAAAGCAAAAGAGGTACCAACTATTTTGACCTTCTCAATGTCGTCTATGGTTGGCTTTCCCTTCCCTCTGGGTAGTCACATAAAGGTTTTTTTTCATCGTCATCTGACTGCTAAAATACTTATAGAAATTTCTCACACCTCTTGCTAGCTGTATCTCATTTTGAGCCTTGGCCTTCCTGACTTGTTCTTAAACTCACCGCTCCATCCCCGGTAATCTGGCCTCATTTTCACGTTGTTTTTCTTTTGTAAAACGCCTTCCTGTGTTTTGGGTCATGGTTTAGAGGAATTAAGCTTTAACTTGCTCCATCTTTCGCTCACATTGGCAAAAGACTGCCCTATGCCCTGTCCTTGTGCCACAAACAGAAACTGCCGTCTCTCCTTAGCTCCTTCGTTCACGTAGACCGGCTTCCTTTGGGATCTTGCGTCATCTGTTGAAGTCTGCTGTCTTTATTCCTCTTTTCTCCATCCCTCCTTCCCTTCCCAAG